TACGCTATGGAGAGAATATTTACTCGCGTAACTGCGATAGTAAAAGCGTCGTCGCGTTTCTCGTTGTTTCGTTTTCATCGTTCCTTTTGGATTCCTTTGAAAAGTGTACTCATAGGCAGTGGTGGGGGAACTCGACGATCGACTTGCCTTTGAAGAGAGATCCAAAATAATACCTCACCTTCATTTCATCGGTAAACCTCGTCAAAGCAACACGTAACGACAGTACGATTATTTATTACATTACAAGGAGTATGTATTATTTTATTGTTCATTATATATATATATATATATATATATATATATATATATATATATATATATATATATATATATTATACATAGTGATCCAAGTGACGTTATATAAATAATATACTATAATAATATACATTATAAATTTTTATCTCTTATTTTTAATATATCGTTTAATATCGTTTATCGAGTTATTGGATAAATCATATGGATGGAAAAAAAATATACAAAGATTCTCGAAACACGTAACATCTGATTTAATTTTTATTTCTGTATCGTTTTATGTAAAAAAAAAAAGAAAAAAAACGAAAAAGAAAAACGTATGAATTTCCTACGATAGATAATTGATATTAATAATTCGATAGAAAATTACGAGAGGAACAAGAAGGAGAATGAAACGCGACAAATGGAAGAGAAAGTTTAACTTTGTTAACATTAACTACGTGAAACGTGTTTTTATAAAGTAATTTCAACAATGTCCCGGTAAAAGAGATCAAAATTTTCGTATATCAATATTTAAAGTAGTAGTATTAATTGTATTCCACTCGTCTCATATTTTTTCACTATTACGTACATTGAAAGCAAACGTTTGTATTTCGTATTCGTCGTCGGTCGTTCATCAAGTCTAGGTAAGGTCGTTCTTTTTATTTACTTTCTTTTTTCTTTTCTTTTTTTTTTTTCTCTCCTTCGAAATTTACTCTCGCGCGTTGAATTGTTGTACAATCCTACTTCCAACCTTGTTCACCTTGTCCCTTCTTTTTTTTCTTTTTTTTTTTTTCATTTCCCTGAAAATCTCGGACCAAACGTAAACTTTGCGAATTCGTTAGCGAGCAAACAACACCTCTTTATTTTTCGATGTAACATCGATTAGGTATGTACCTATGTTATATTAATTTTTACATCGTAATAGCGCACAGTAATTTATTAATTGAAACAAATCATTATATATATATATATATTTTTTTTTTTGTTTTTTTTATTTGAAATTCGTCATTTGTTCGTTTTAATGAAACTCATTTCAAGGTAAGCTCGTCGTATCATCGATGAAAATCGTGAAGATGGTCGATGACGAAGTGACTTCAATTAAATATAACTAAAGTGCGGAAAAGAGTGAAAGAGAGAGAGAGAGAGAGAGAGAGAGAGGAAGGCAAATAGACATAGAAATAGATGTTAATCTCGATAATGGAATATCTCAACGATTCTGAATATTTCGTCGGCTGGAATAGACATTCTATTATCGCGGTCACGAGAATTTAGAATAGAATTATATCAGATTTTCCAAATGATTTTCTCGTACGCAAATAAGGATTAATTAAACGTAAGCTCTACGTTTTCTAAGAGCTCGCTACTCTCGCTTGTGCGTTCGCGCTTCCGCGCCGTTAATTCCATCTGCACCTTCATTACAAATTTCAACTTGCTAATTTTATTTCTCAGCATTGGGATTTCCATCGTGGTTTGCTTCGTTGATTTCCCCGACTAAAGGTTATGTTTCCTCCTCCTTCTTTCTCTCTGTCTCTCTCTCTCTCTCTCTCTTTCTCTCTCTCTCTCTCTCTCTCTCTGTCTGTCTCTTCTTCTCTCTTCCCTCTCATACTCTCGGTTTTGATTAAAGCCAAACAAATTTCTTGTACGAGAAATTAATTGTAATCATTGATTACCGTCGAAATGAACTTTCTCGCCAAAAAGAGAGAGAGAGAGAGAGAGAGAGAGAGAGAGAGAGAGAAGAGAGAGAAAGAGGGTGAGTATTTCCGAGCAATTTAGTTCGAGCATGGTTCGAAAGGTACACGCGATCCTCGCGTTTACACCAATTTAGTTTCGAAGCGAATCGAGGATCCTCCGTTTTTGCGACAAAGTTGAATATCGCGTGTTGAGCACTTCATCTCTATCTCGATTTTGTTCTATTTATTTACGTTTATATCATTCTTTATCTTTCTCTTTCGTTTTACTTTTAAAATCGGCAAAAGGAACGACGAAACTTTTTAAAAGTGATAGTAAATAGAAACGTTAATTGGCAGATTAACATTATTCTTTTTTCCTGTTCTTTTTTTTTTTTTTTTTTTTTTTTTATATATATATATATATATAATAAGGAAAACTCACCTGTGCGGCGACCATTCCCTTTCTCAATCTCCTTAGATCTGTATGACTCCAGGCATTGCCCGACCAAGGACGGATGTCACTGAGATCATCAAATCTGAATCCTCGTAGTTGATTCTTTAGGAACTTGCGTATATTCCAGGGTAGATCGTTGTGCCTTTAATAAGAGAAAAAAATAGAAAACAATTGAAATATTTGAAATATATTTTTGTAATTAAATAAAAAAGTATCATAATTTTATACAGGAATTTTTCGAACGAAATTCCAATAAATTTATCGTTTCTATTGAGAATTTGTAAGAAGAGAAAAATAGTAAGGAAATTTTATTCTCTCTCTTTTCCTCTCTCTCTCTCTCTCTCTCTCTCTCGTAATATTACCCTTTAGTCTAGTAAGCTTAAGTTGTTGCACTTTATATTGAATTTCTTTCGAGACATTATTATATTCCTTAAGAGACGATTATTACGATAAATGTTATCGAAGGGAAACGATTAAAAAAAATTGCCACAATTATTTCGATTTTATTGTTTATTATAATTTTACTGTTAATGAAAACAATCCTAGATTATCATCATGATAATCATCGTTATTATCATCGAAACTGATCCTACCAATGGCGTTTAGAGGATTCGATTAGTTGCTCGTTAACGATTAAATCTCTAATACCCGATTCAATTCATTTTTTATAAATGCTTTTGCATAGTAGATAAATAATTCCTAGTAACGATAGATATGCATATGCATTTCAATTATTTCCAACACACAAGTTAATCTTTAATTAAGTTAATGGTTCTATGACATATAATTATATATTTATATGCATATATACATATGTATGTATGTATGTATGTATGTATGTATGTATGTATGTATGTATGTATGTATGTATGTGTATATCTATGTTGTCGATAATATATGCTATGCATATATTATTATGTGACCATGACGGCCGCACGGGTCTTGAAGTTTGCACCATAGACACGGGGAATCTGTTATTCGGTTCGTGTAATCGCACGAAGTGCATTAGAGAAATTTCCTATGGAATACTTCGAGATTCCCGAGACGTATAATTTGAATAAACCTATGCGGAAGTAACATGCCGGAACTCCAAGTTCTCACCATACGCTATTGGAGTAGGAAGATCTAATTGAGTGGAAGTATGCCGATGTGAAGTGACATCACCTTAGCGTCCTCATCCTTATCCTCATCCTCATTGTCATTGTCGTTGTCGTTGTCGTCGTCGTCGTCGTCGTCAATGTATCCGTCGAGACATAACATAATTATATGTATGCTTATAATTATTAACATTTTCTCGTTAGATACTTAACATAACTCAAAAGCAATTAAGTCTCTTGTTGGCATGGAAATAACACTGTTCCTTTGGTATATTGTTCAATATCTAGATATACATTATTTTGTTTTATTTAAAAAAAAAAAAAAATGCACATGCTGATATGTACGAACAAGATTCTTTCATGTTTGCTTTTTTTTTCTTCTTCTTCTTCTACTTCATTCATTTTTTCATTCCTTCATTGTATATACATTCCTCAGGTATTTTTTCGCATTTTAGCGGTGAATGAAGCGAGAGATAAAAATCGTTTACGTTTCACAAATTTGCACGTTGCTCTTCTCATGGAGTTCGACCGAATAAGGTAACCCGCAAGCATTCTCTTTCATAACGAATGAATCTCACGAAAACGAGTCTCTCTTTCTCTTGCTCTCTCTCTCTCTTTCTCTTTCTCACTCGCTCTTTTTCTCTTTCTCCTGGTATGTGTACGCGAATCTATGTACGTGCCGTTAACCAAACAAATCTGACCGAATTCGGAGATGGATCTCTCGGCCGTTTACCGCTTAACCATACTACTCGCCGGTAGAATGCACTTTGTATGCGGTACGAGCGGAGTTTAACTTCGAGCAGAATTAGGTAACCAAACGAGCGAACGTGCCTTCCCTATACAACCTCTTCCCCTCCCTTATCTTATCCTCCTTGTATAGTTTCCTCCTTTACTACCAAACGTTATCCGTTTATCGAGAATAATACCGTTCGATACATTTTCATCTTCTGTTTTTTCTAACAATTACTTTTACAAAACTTTCAAGTAGAACAAATTTTTCTTTTCTATACTATCTATAATGTACGATCGTTCCAACATCAATTTATATAATAATAAAAGTATAATAATAATAATAATAATAATAATAATAATAATAATAATAATAATAATAATAATAATAATATAATAATAATAATAATAATAATAATAATAATAATAATAATAATAATAATAATAAAATAATAATAATAATAATAATAATAATAATAATAATAATAATAATAATAATAATAATAATAATAATAATAATAATAATAATAATAATAATAATAATAATAATAATAATAATAATAATAATAATAATAATAATAATAATAATAATAATAATAATAATAATAATAATAATAATAATAATAATAATAATAATAATAATAATAATAATAATAATAATAATAATAATAAAGTTCTAAATGGACACTTTTTGTTTTACATTATTGAGAATAATTGGGTGAATTGTTTAAAACAAGAAAAAAATTGATCGCGTGAAAAATAATATTATTTTTTTGTGGCGGTATTATATATTTTTTTTCTTTTTTTTCTTTCTGTTTTTTTTTTTCATAGCTGAAAAAAAATGTAACCGTTTCTGGTTGATCAATTTTCATTTAAAATCCTTTCGATTGGATCTCCTTTTACCAATCACCTCTCACCTTTCTATATGGAGTATTCTTCGTCACAAGGCTGAGATCGTCTATTAAACTTTTTGTCACATTAAATTTCATTCTAGATTTTTCAACTTGTACGAGACATCAAGCACCCTTATCGTTTCCCCTCTCTCTCTCTTTCTCTCTCTTTCCCCCTCTCACTTTTTTGTAGGCATGCGTTCAATCTGAAATACCTATCAGACTACTTGCTTACTTGTGGAATCTTCTTATCGTTGCTTGTGGATTTCTCTTTACTAGTTTCTCACAAATTCTACAACCTGACTCTAAGTTGAAGGAAAGAGAGAGAGACAGAGAGAGAGAGAGAGAGAGAGAGAGAGAGAGAGAGAGAGAGAGAGAGAGAGAGAGAGAGAGAGAGAGAGAGAGAGAGAGAGAGAGAGAGAGAGTACACGCATAACTGCTACGAGGGTAAACGCGAAAATCGATCGAGTTTATGGCCGATCGTTTCTCGTCATCGTAAATCATCGTTGTTCAACGAACGTTCGCGATTTCATTCGACGCGTTTTATAATATTTTCCAGGTCCTACTACCTTTTATTTACGATCATTGAAATAAATCGGCTCGAAATTACGTACGAAAATATTTGACGGGATATATATACTTCGTTGAAATTGAAACGATTGCGAATAATTATAACGTAAAATACGATGAAACTTTAGATGACTTTGTAATTTTGCTTGTCGTTTGAAAATGAAACAGGCGACTTTCGTTTAACCATTGTTCAAAAGCGTTCTTTGTTAACGATTATACCGAATAGCCGTCTATATCATGGATCTGATCGAAAATACGTGTAATCGTAAGCGAGCCAACGAAACGTACAAAACTCAACGGATTCCTGATACGTATACGTATGGAAGAAAAATCATCGTCGATATATGTAGTTATTAGTCGATTTGAAATATTTGAATAATTCTTAATTAATGTGACGTTTACACGAATTTGAGTGCGCGCTTTTATACACATCGATACTGATGCATGCACAAAGTTACATATGTATGTAATACCCCATTCGAGTAGCATTTTATATCATGCGTAAAGCAAATGTTTCTCCGATTAAAAGTGAATAATAATAATTTTTTGTTTTCTTTTTTTTTTTTTTCTTTTTTCTTTTTTACTCTTCTCCTCTCTCGTTTCTTATTTATTTTTTTCCGCTTATTATTTTATTCTTCTTATTTTTACCAAGATAATAAGACCCTTTGGATAACATCGGATAGTCGTCATTTTCGCGAGAGTCGTCATGCAACGATCGTTAACTATCGGCTATTCGCATTTAGTAATGCATAAAAGTATTCACTGGCGTTTGGCCGGCGGCCAGACTCGTGTTTGCAGCCATCGATAATACAAGACGTCATAAAAATTCTCTTGCTTATTGGTTATAGTCACGACAGTCGATTCTTCTTTTCTTTTTCTTTTTTCTTTCTTCCTTTCTTTTTTTTTTTCTTTTCTCTCTCTTTTCTTTTTTTTTTTTTTTTTCTTACTTACTTTTTTACTTTTATTTGCTTTCTTCTTCTTTTTTTTTTTTCTTAATCCTTCCTATAATAATTAGATAATGGCTTATCAAGACGAATTTCATTCGACATGAAAAAACTGCCTGAGAAAATTCCAATTTGAACACTCTCACGTAACCCTCCCCTCGCATCCCCTTCACCCCTTCAACCAATATGGATTCCTTACATCAGAAAATTCCATGAATTTCTTGCAACGTTATCTATCTCCGATACATTGAATGAAGACTCACGAATCCTCGCCGCTCGTCGGAAATTCCGACAGGCTGTTGGCATTTTCATCGAACACATATTGGTCGATATTTCGAATTGCACGAATAAATATCGATTGACAATTTGAATATTACCGTATCACAGATTACGTCTGATAGATGAGTTTGGTAATCGAATCGTTGATTTGTAACTGTATGGACCATATTGCGCTATAACGAAAGAGAGAGAGAGAGAGAGAGAGAGAGAGGATGAGAGAAGTAGCAAAATGCAATTCGAAAGACGGCCGGTCGAGCTAATCGGTGATACGTATGCAGAGAATGTTGTCTGTATCCAAGGGGTGAGATAACTTTAACGTCGATCTCGGCTAAAATGGTGGTGAATTTTCGTCGTTTGCCAAACGACCGGGAGGGAAAGGGTGATGAGAGAGAGAGAGAGAGAGAGAGAGAGAGATATGGGTGGTGAGAGGGGGGTTGAAAGAGGCTGGCTCAGAGTCGTGCGTTGAGAAGGGTGGTTAATTGGCAAAGCGCGATAAGGTGTCTGGCCCCGATATGCATATGAATGGTGAATATTCCGTTTGCTGGATGCGGTGACGTCACTTCAGATGCAAATGCGACTTCCGTGCACTCTCTCTAGTTTTTTCTCTCTCTCTCTCTCTCTCTCTCTCTCTCT